AACCTGTTTCAAAAATCCCTGGAGCACCAGGGAAGTACCTGAGGATTGGAAAAGGGCTGATGAGATTCCCATTTTTTTGGGTGGTGGTGGGGGAAAGACACCCAGGAAATTACAGATCAATCAGCCTAATATCAATAACTGGGAAGATCCTGGAAAAGATATTAAAAAAACAGATCTGCAAACATCTAGAAACAAATAAAATTATAACTAATAGCCAGCATGGGTTTGTTAAAAACAGATCATGCCAAACTAATCTTATTTCTTTGTTTGATAAAGTGATTCAATTAGTAGACTAGCGAAATGCTGTGGACATAGTATATTTAGATTTCAGCAAGGCATTTGACAAAGTAGACCACAACCTACTTCTTGGTTAAGGTAGAAAAATGTGAAATAGACAAGATCACCACAACATCTGAGATAATGATGGATCCGTAGCTGGCTGATCAACCATACTCAACAAGAAGTTCTTAATATTTACATGGAAGGAAGCAGTGGGGTATTACAAGGTTCCGTCTTAGGCCCAGTACTCTTTAATATCTTCAGAAATGACTTAGATGAGGGAATAGAAGGGTAACTCATCAAATTTGCAGATAACACTAAGCTCGCAGGAATAACCAACACCCCAGAGAACAAGCTCAGGATCCAAAAAATTCTTAACAGACTTGAACAATGGACCCTATCCAACAAAATGAATTTTAATGAGGAAAAAAGCAAGGTTTTACATTTAGTCAGGAAAAACCAAAAATATAAATACAGAGTAGGCAAGACCTGGCTCAAAAATAGTAACTATGAAAGGGACCTTGGAGTCTTAACAGATGATCACTTGAATATGAGCCAGCAGTATGTGACAGCAGCTAAAAAGCTAATAAAATCCTGGGTTCTATAAACACAGAATCAAAATCACGTGAAGTATTAGTACCAATTTGTAAAATCTTAGTCAGACCACACCTGGAATACTGCAACCTATTGTGGTCACCACACTACAAAAATGATGTTTAGACTTTGAAAAAGGTTCAGAGAAGAGCAACTAAGACGATCAAAGGTCTGGAGACTAAACCATGAAGAAGGACAGCAGGATTTGAGTTTAGCTAGTGTAGACCAGGGGTCGTCAATCTTTTGGATCTCAGGGACCACCAAACTCATACTTTTAAACTCCGAGGACCACTAATACGAATTTTAAAAAAAGATAATATATTTAATATAAATTTTTTATTTTTTTATATTAAATATAAATTTAATATTAAAAAAATAATATACATATATACATATACATATACATACATACATATGGTATTCAGCTTTGTTCCGGTATTTTCCCATGTCATTATAGTTGCGCTTTTAAAGTTGTAGCGAAGTTTCAGCAGAATGTTATCTGCCAACATCAGGCTTCTGTATTGTGTTCGTCTGTGTGTCAGGCTTTCGCTGCCATTTCTGTTTTAAATTTAGTGCTAGCCCCATGCTTTGTTAGAATGGTTTTTTCTTCATCCTGATTGGTTGGGAGTCTTGGTCTGTGTTTATTGGTCTTGGAGTTTGCTGTGTTCTGCTTGATTGGTGTTTCTAATATCTTCTGTCTGTTTTGTGGCTTTTTTTGTCTTGATTGGCTGGCAACATTGTGTTCCTGTATTGGCTTTTAGTGCGGCTTGGCTCCAAGTAAACGGACGGCTATCATTTATTAGGAAGCTAGGTTTCATCTGGGTGCCTGGTTGGGGTGTGTTTGGGGTGCCTGGTTGGGGTGTATCGGGGGGGTCTGTTTGGTTTGTGGTGTGGAGAGTTTTTTGTTTGTGAGTGCAGGCTTCCAGATAATTGACAGTCTAGTGGAGTCATCTCTTCTATTCATGCTTTCAGGTCATTTTTCAATCTCTATGGCTTCTCTGATAATTCTGTAGCTGGGGTTTTCTATAGTGGCTAGGGTTTTGGTGCCATGGAAGTCGATGCTATGACCTGTGGCTTTCATGTGTTGGACTAGTGAAGAAGTGTGTTCCAGCTTTTTTACTGCATTTTTGTGTTAATTAAGGTGGGTACTTATTCTTCTATTGGTCTGTCCGATGTATGTGGCAGGACATGATGTGCAGGGGACTTCATATATGCCTTGGTTTTCCAGGTCAATTTTATCTTTGGGGTTTCTTAGGATGGCTGCTATTTTTCTGTCTGTTTTGAAGGCAATCTTGATGTGATGCCTGTGTAGTATCTTACTGATTTTGTCTGTTGTACCTCTTATGTAGGGCAGCTTTAACACTGCTGGGATTCAAAAGAAGCCACATGGTGCCTGGAGTGGGGAAGATCTGGACGGGGAGGAAATGGCTCCCCCTCAAACTGAAGCAGAGCCCCCCCATCTGGTCTCCTGTCATTTCATATCTCCCCCAAGTAGGGGGAGAAACCTCTCCCTACTTTGCCAGGTGCAGCTGCCTGGAGTTGGGGGAAGGAAGGAGGGCTGGGCTGGAAGCCCCAAGGAAAACGGGCTCCTAATAACCAGGCAACACCCCCCCTTCAGCCTCCACTCTACTTAGCCCTGAGGCTAAGCTCCAGGTTTCTCCTGACGCTTCCAAGCAGAGAAGGGTCCCTCCCTGTGTGGAGGCTGAAAGGGGGGGGGGTGTCAAGCCCAGAAAAGTCGAGTTCTCACCTGCACAAACAGGCTGGTTATTAGGAGCCTGTTTTCCTTGGCACTCTTTTAGTCTGGGCATTTGGTCTCCCCACCGCCCCATGCCAAAGGAAAGCCAACCAAGCTTCTCCTTCCCTCCTACCCTCCCTCCTGCTCCCTTTTCCCCACTCAATCCTATTTTGGGACAGAGGAGAACGTTGCTGAAAATGTGTGTTGGCATTTCCAACACGCATTTCTCCGGCCCTCATCCGCAATTCTTCGCATTCCTCCAGGCCTGGCTTGCTGAGGGGGGAGAACAGCCCTGATGTTTCTGCTGCCTCCCCCATAAATCCAGCCATCGCTGCCTGGGGAAGGCACAGGAAAAGAAAGTAAGCAGAAACATAGCTCTCGCTGGGGTGAAAGAGCGGAGATTGGGGAAGGCACAGGCAACAGAAAGTGGCGCTTTGCAAAGGTGGCAGCTTGCGTCTTCTCTTGCGCCTTCCTCAATCTCACCTCTTTCGCTCCAGCGCTGAGCTATGTTTCTGCTCACTTTTCCTATGCCTTCCCTGGGTAGTGATGGCTGGGGCTGTGGGGCGGGGGGGGGGGGGGGGCAGAGCACTGAGAGAGACGAGAAAACTGACACCGACGCCCCACTCCACCCCCTCCCACCACCACCACCCAGTAATTTTCCTGACCCAGGCTGTCCCTACAGCCCAGGGCAGAGAGAAAGAGCCTAGGCCAGGAGAGGCAAGCTGGAAGCTGCAGGAGTGCCGCGCAAATGCAAGTAGCGCGGAGCTCCTGCACCTTCCGGCCATCTCCATCACCGCTTCAGCCCACTTGTGCCGCCAGCCCCCTCTTGCTGCAACAGCACCATTACCTTGTCCTGGCCAGTGAGGGCTGTGCTGCTTTTTGCAGGTTTGCACTCGGCCAAAGGGTGGGGGCCAGTGGATGGGTGGGCCATGTGGGTGGCGCAGCCTTGTGTTCCCACGTGGCCTGGATCAATTGCTTTGGGAGGGTGCTGGGGTGACATTTCTCTGTGGACTACCAACATTTTCTCACGGACCACCAGTGGGCCGCAGCCCACCGATTGGCAACCACTGGTCTAGACAAAAGAAGAACTAGCGGTGACATGATAGCAGTATTCCAATGTTTGAGAGGCTGCCACAAAGAAGTGGGGTCAAATTATTCTCCAAAGCACCAGAGGGCAGTACAAGAAACAATGCTAGATGCTATTGTTTCTTTCACCTTTGGTTTCCCTGTCAGCTAGCTAACAAAAACTCAGAGCTTCAGTGGTAGCTTGTATATTGTATGCAAACAAAGAACTTTGACATTGTTCTCTAAAGAAGAGTTAGAATGCAAGACTTTTAAATTATTAAAAGAGAAGTGATACCTCATTAATATGACTCACATACACTGAAAAGTGTGTTTTATATGTTAATTCAGGCCCTGTAGCTTTTAAGTAGATATGTTAATAATGGTTTCTGTATGTGCATATAATTATAACAGATGGAACAAACAAAGGTCTCTTCAAAGTTTTTACTTGACTGGTAATAGTAGTAATATTTCAGCTTTTTCTAATAAAACAGTAGAAAACAAGCAGAGGTCTGTGTGACAGAGGATCTTATATAACATGATAAGAAAATTTAATATTTTGTAAGTCAAAAATGGCCACTGTGAGTGGGGAAAGCCAGATCCCTATTGGAGCCCTGGCTGCCCAGGCCCAGCAGAGATTGGGGGGGGGGGCACACGATCCTGGTTGGGCTTGGGTGGCCATAGCGCCGATGGGGATTGAGCTTTCCCTGCTTGTGGTGGCCGCCTTTTGTCTGCTGGGAATGGGCAAGGCCCACGAGGGGGACAAGGAGATGACTAGCGGCAACCTGCTTTCCAACCGCAAGCCAAAAGAGATGGGATGGAATAGGCAGCAGCCGCCCCACATCCTCCTCATCTTGTTTTCGCTCACAGCGGCAGCAGAAGCCGAAGATAAGAAGCACAGGGGAGAGGCACACTGTCTGGCCTGCTGGATGCACCGCGCAGCCATCTGCTCTATCCCAGTCACATGGGATGAAGCAGTGCATCCAGTGGTTCATATCATGTGCCTCCTCCCACTCTGCCTGCCATGTCTGCTTCTTTGAGGGCCAGTTATGCATTCCCTGGTGCTGGACACCTCCCCACCATGCACACACACCTGAAAGGCTGTGACCATCCTGAAAACCATAAAGGCCGGCCTGTCCTGCCCATCCCTTCTCATCCCGGCAGGCGCACGTGTTGCTTCGGCCTGGCTCATGCCATCCTGGCAGGCACATGTGCGCACAGGAGGCAGTGGGAGCACATGCACACAGACCTGGCCCACCCCATCCTGGCATGCATACAACAAACCCCTATTGTAAGCCATTCACTGTTCAAGTCCAAGTTTCAAACTTACCTTTACTAAGCAATTTCTATGACCAGGAATGCTTCCGTGTACATATAAAATATTGTGCTTCACATTGACTTGCCATATCTGTAAGATTAAAATTATCCAGTAGGAATTAACACGTTGTTGTTATTGACTTATAACAAACTTAAAGTAAAAAAACACATACTTTATGAGGAAGTAAGAAGAACAGAAACTTAAGAAAAAGACAGCTATGTAGTCTCTTTCAATAAAAGTAAAAATGGTTATATAGTTGTTGTTTATGGCTTTAAATCCCTGTGTAAATATGGCAGGGAGAAAAGTTTGTATTCCCTTTAAATAAGTCTGTCATCTGCACCTCTATTGGTTGGTTTGGCACTGGAACCAATCAAGACGAACACGGACTTCAATGGATAATTAGAACTGCAGAAAAAACAATTGCTACCAATCTGCCATCCATTGAGGACTTGTACACTGCACAAGCCAGAAAGAGGGCTGTGAAAATATCTACAGACCCCTCACATCCCGGACATAAATTGTTTCAACTTCTACCCTCAAAACAATGCTATAGGGCACTGCACATCAGAACAACTAGACACAAGGACATTTTCCCCCCGAATGCCATCACTCTGCTAAACAACTAATTCCCACAACACTGTCAAGTTGTCTAGAAAGGCAGTATTTGTCAGAGTATATTCATGAACTGGAATAGAGCTTAGTAATAGGGTCAGCCAATGAGAGATAAATTGGGGACTGAAACTTAAAGAGAGAATCTGGGCGTGGTTTATCTCTGTTTTGTGCTCAGCTCTAAAGTGAAACAAAAAACTAGCTTGCTTGCTGAAACTGATATCTGCTCTGAGCTGCTGCTGCCTGTGTGTTTGCTTATGTTACATTGAAAGAATCTACTAATGGTATTGTAAACTTTACTTCAATATGTTAATGTGTTATAAAGAAGTTAATGATCCTGCTGAATCAGTCATCTGTGTGTTTTCTGGACTTGAATTTCTGCTGCAAACTCTTAACATCATTATTCTTATCTTCCCTATTATGTATCTCCTTATCTTCCTATGACTATAACTTTCTTGCTTGTATCTTATGATTTATATCAGTGATGGCTAACCTTTTTGACATCAAGTACTCAAAGCGCGTGCACACATCCCAAAATGCAATGCACGTGTCGTCCCCGTATGCATGCATATGCCCCCACATACACCCCACTCCTGTGCATGCACCCACCCCCCACATGCACGGCAGGGACCCAAAGACCAGCTGGCTGGTGGGAGGCTTGCGCGCATGTGCAGGAGACCTGAGCTGGGGCGACAGCTCATGTGCCCCAAAGAGGGTTCTGCATGTCACCTCTGGCATGCGTGCCATAGGTTCGCCATCACGGATTTCTATTATTTACTTAGTATCCTAGTATGATTTATGTTGATTGCTTATTGACTATCCTCTAACTGTTGTATCTAATGTTTTATGATGAATGTATTTTCACAATGATTTTGATAATAATCTATCTCTACTGCTGAGAGCTTATGCACTGGAGACAAATTTCTTGTGTGTCTAATCACATTTGACCAATACAAAATTCTAATAATTACTTTGCAACACTAAATAACAGCTTCTCTATGCATTCTTCAGCAACTAAGATTTATTGATTTATTTATTGATTTATTGATTTCATGATTAACTTTGTGCCATGTAAAGCTTGTGTCAGCTTCTGGTCACTTAGAAATATGATCAGGGATTATTGAATTTATGCATACAGCTATATACCATTCAATTTGTTCAACAGTCCAGTGGTGGATAATCTTTAATAGCATTAACATCTTGGACAAGATGGCCATGTAAAAAACTATGTTTTTATTTCTGGGCTCCATTAACAGCCACATTGGCAAAAAGACTAAGAAGGTCCTTCTATAACATTGAAGTAATGTAATGTTTTCATCGTACGAGAAGCCAAGACTTTATTTTTCAAGTCAGGTGGAAATGACAGTGGCCTCTTCTATTGTTTTGAATTTCTTGAGAGGAATATGCAAACTTTACTATTACACAGAAATCCTTATGCACTAAGAATTTATCAAATCAGATGAATATTTTTCAGTAGCCTTACCTTTAGACCCTTAGCTGTCCGATAGAAGTTTCCTAATTGTCCTGGCATTTTCTTTCCCTTGAAGACCTTTGCAACACCCTGTCTCAAAAATCAAAGTGAAGTTAGTTAAAATATGGTTTTATTATCTGGCGTAGGAATACCATGGAAGAATGGAGCCCATTAAATTACTAGTATGATTGCATTCTTCCCTGTTAATATAGGTAACCCTTGACTTATAAGCCTTCGCCTCACAACCGTTCAAATTAATCACAGCTTCCAAAATCAATAGTTATGACCCAGAGAGCTTAAGCAACCTGTTTTCATTTATGACTGATTGCCAAGTGACTTGTGATCATATGATTGCTATTTGCAATATTCTTTATTGGTTTCTGGGGAAATTGGCAGTGAAGATTGCAAACAGAAGAGAGAAGGATTGAAATCTGTTCCATTGCGTACCAAGGGATTTCCCTTCCCCTTTCTGCAGGGAGAGGAAATCCTCCCATGCGCTTGAGGAACAGACCTCATATCTGGAGAAACCACTAGTGAAGCTAGTGCAGAGCTTTTCAGAATGCTGGCTTTCCTATCATTTTCTCCTAGAAGGATGCTAGCAAAAGAGTTGGATTCTGGGGGAGAAATCACTGAGTTGCTGGAAAAGTAAATGGATCTGATATGTTGCGGAGAGGGTTTGTGAGCTGGTGGGTCTAGCTAGCTGATGCCTCCCCAACCCACAGCAGATTTCTGCCTATCAGTGGGTGATGTCAAACAATGGAGAGCTTGGATTGTAGTTGTTGAGCAAGGTAGTTACAAGGCCCTTTGTTTAATGACCACAGTAATTTATTAACAAAATTTGGGGCTCCATTGTGCTCATTAAGTCAAGGACTAACTATACTCACAGATAATTAGGCACATAGAGAGGTTCCCCACGGCAGCTAATACAATTTCCAAGAAATTTTATTAAATTTACTCAAAATCTGTATCACTATCAACTTGTAAGGGGGCAAGCTTATGAAGATTTTGATATTACCAAGATGTCTCAATTCAGTATCTACCTTCAATTTGTATCTTTTTTGAACTGATCAAAATAATATAGATAATAAGAATACTTGCAGAACTAGAAATTGATCCAGGTCGTCTGTGTGTTTTAGTTTGGCCATGGGAAGCAGGCTGGCCAGAAAATCCCCATCTTTTCATGACACCTTGGAAACCTTTGCCAATTCTGAAAGCAAGCAAGCCAAATTAAATTATTTTTAAATAGTCATAAACCAATTTGATAGCAGAATTATGTTTTTTAGTAGAATTATTATATAAGTTGCATATTCAGCATAAGCGTTTTATGCTGTGAAACCTGTATATGGCTATTTAAAAATAAAACGTTCTTTTTATTTGTAATGTTCACTGTAAATTAAAAGCAGATTTTAGTTGTCTTTCTTCAACAAAACAAGGCAAGTAATTTGTTGCCAATTATGTTTTTTTATTAGACATACATAGAGGTTTGTATACTACAGTACTTGTCACTATTCATTATTGGGAATTATATGTTTTAGTTTTCAATTTTTTAAAATTTTATTTATATATTTTTCTTTAACATATATAAGTGCTTAGTGAATAGTGTATTGTCTGGGTCAATTTGCTTATACATAATAATAGTATTATACTATAATATTATTATACATATTGTAGTATATTAATTTTAAATTATTTATATTATATTAATATTATAAATATTATTATACATAATAATAATATTTACTTGTACATAGTGATATTCTTCCAACTTCTAATTTCTACCTCTATTATCTAACCACTGGTAAAAAAAAAAATCCCATGTTGAGAAATATTCTGTATCTACTTTATCCTTTATCTTTGATGTTAACCTATCCATTTCTGCACAAACTAATATTTTTTAAAAATTATATTTTCATCTACAGGAGTTTCCTCATTTTTTCATTGTTGTGCAAATATAATTCTCATTGCTGTCAAAACATATAGTATTAAATATATGTTCCCTTTGTCATATTTTTCTGGTAATATATCTAACAAAAATATTTCTAGCTTTAAATCTATGTGTCACTTTATCATTTTCTCTAACCATCTATGTATTTTCGTCCAAAATTTTTTTGCCTTTGGGCATGTCCATCACATATGGTAGTACAAGCCACTGGGCATTTCTGATTGCATTTCCAACATTTGGTGGACATGTTTTGGTTTTGCTAGCCTTGCTGGTGGCAAATGCCACTTATAAAACATTTTATACAGGTTTTCCTTGTAGATAGTTGCCATTGTCAATTTATAATTTCTATCTCAAAGTTTTTGCCATTTATCTAATTCTATCTAATTCATGCTATAATTGTTTCTTTCACTTGTTCATCTTCCATTTTAAAGCTATATATTTTCTTTATTTATTTTTCATCCGTTGCTAGTAGTATCCAATCAAGTGTTGTTGGCTCTTTATAAAAACCATATGTCTTTGTGTCTTTCTCATATTTTGATTGTATTTGCCAATGTGGCTACCATACTAAGTCCACCCCTTGGTTTTGTAATTCCTGTTTAGTTTTAAGTTCCCCTTTATCATTCAAAATATCTTTATGTTATAATTTTTCCCCAAGTTTATAACATTTGGATGTATCAGTGCTACCATTGTGGACAGCCAGACTGGTATTTTCATATAATTTTTTACTTTAATTTTTTTTCCATACTAAGAATAGAGCATTCCTTACATAATGTCTTTGAAAATATGTATATTATTCTTTTCGTACCACAAAAAGGCATGTCATCCCAATTGAAGATCATGTCCTTTTAGCAATAGCAGTCTTTTATTTCTGAAATTTAGCTACACTTTCACCCAAGTTAATGCAGAAACCTGGTAATAAAACTCCCAGTCTGGCAACCCAAAGCTCCTTAGATTCTTGCAGCATTTTCAGTCTTATTCTTGCTCTTTTTCCTTGCCAAACATATTTCAAAATTATTGTATTTAGTTCGTCAAAGTATTTTTTTCTCTAGTTTTATAGGAATCGCTTGGAACAAAAAGAGTAGCTTCAGTAGGATATTCATTTTTATAGTTGCTATTTTTCCTACTATTGACAGCTACAAAGTTTTTCCAGTTCTCCAAGTCCAATTTAATTTGTTGTATTACCTGTATATAGTTATCTTATTTGATTGGAGTACATCTAGCTCTTAAGTAAATTCCCAGGTTACTTTTTTAACTACCTGAAGGTCTATCTTCTTTGTCAAGTCATTTTTCTACTTATCTGTGAGGCTTTTAGCTAATATTTTGGATTTTTTCTTTGTTTATTCTCAATCCTGCAACTTCTCCATATTCCTCTATTTTTCCCATCAGCTTGGGGCCAGTTTCCAATGGTTCTTCTAGAATACCAGATCATCTGCAAATGCTTGTACGTTTGTATTTTTCTCTTTTTGATGGATAAATTCATTCAAAAATATTTTTAATCTTTCTGCTATTATTGATGCAAATATTTTATAGACTGCATTTAATAGTGATATAGGCCTGTAGTTCTTTAGCTGTGTTAAGTCTTTTTTCTGGATTAATGTTATATTTGCTTCTATCCACGAATTTGATCTCAGCTTCTAATAGTTCTTCATTATAAACATCTATCATTGGCAAGCTTAGTGTATCCTGTAAGTGTTTATAAACTTCTGCAGATAACCCACCTGGTCCTGGTGTTTTGCTATTCTTTTATCTTTTTATTGCCTCTGTTAATTCTATCATCGTTTATTCTTTCATTTAGCATTGCTTTCACATTTTCAGACATTTTTGGTAGTTTATCTTTTTCTAAGTATTGCTTTATCTTTTCCTCCGAAATTTTTTCTTGATTGTATAGTTTCCCATAGAACTACTGAATTATTCTTTTTAGTCTTGTTTTATTACTGTAAAATTCCCCCTTCTCATCTTGCTTATCAATTTATTCTCTTTTGTTTTGTTTTTGTTTTTCTCTTATGATTTGCCGTGCCCTTTTCCATTTAATTCAATTTATGTTATATTATTAGAATAGAATAGAATAACAGAGTGTGAAGGGGCCTTGGAGGTCTTCTATTCCAGGGGTCACCAACCTTTTGGACCTCAGGGACCACCACCGCGGACAACTAATATGAATTTTGACTGATGGTGGCTTGCTGACGTTGGTGGGAAAGTTGGTCCCATATTCCAGAGCTGCAGTAGTCACAGGACCGGCCCTTTGGTCATGCCGGAGCAGCTGCTCTTCCACCCGGGTACACTGGCCTGCCATGGACTGGAGGAGCTGCTCCGAGTTGACCAAAGGGCCAGTCTTGTGATTACTGCAGCTCTGGAATATGGGACCAGCCAGTAGTGGGATTGGAAATCTCCACCATAGGGGGTGGCAGTGCAAATTTGCAGGTGGTACAACATGCAAAAAGCAGTGCAGGCCTGGCTGGCCAGGATGAGGTAATGGTGCTGTTGCGGCAAGAGTGGGGCGGAGGCACAGGAGGGCTGAAGTGGTGATGGAGATGGCTGGAAGGTGTGGGAGCACCACGCTACTTGCATTTGTGTGGCATCAGCAGTTTTCCATGCCACTCATACTTCAGTGCTTTGAAGGTTTGTGCTCAACCGAAGGGTGGGGGCCAACGGGTGGGTGGGCTATGTAGGTGGTGCAGCCTTGCGTTCCCGTGCAGCCTGGATTAACTGCTTGGGGGATGCTTTGGAGGGGATATTTCTCTGCAGACCACCAAATTTTCTCACGGACCACCAGTGGTTCCCAGCCCACTGGTTGGCGAACACTATTCTAGTCCAACCCCCTGCCTAGGAAGGAAACCCTACCCCACTTCAGACAAATGGTTATCCAACGTCTTTTTAAAAATTTCCAGTGTTGGAGCATTCACAACTTTTGGAGATAAGTTGTTCCACTGATTAATTGTTCTAACTGTTAGGAAATTTCTCCTTAGTCCTAAGTTGCTTCTCTCCCTGATTAGTTTCCATCCATTGCTTCTTGTCCTGCCCTCAGGTGCTTTGGAGAATAGATTGACTCCCTCTTCTTTGTGGCAGCCTCTGAGATATTGGGACACTGCTATCATGTCTCCCCTAGTCCTTCTTTTCATTAGACTAGACATACCCAGTTCCTACGACTGTTCTTCATATATTTTAGCCTCCAGTCCTCTAATCATCTTTGTTGCTCTTCTCTGCACTCTTTCTAGAATCTCAACATCTTTTTTACATTGTGGCAACCAAAACTGAATGCAGTATTCCAAGTGTGGCCTTATTTCCATTTGATTTTTTAAATGTCCCTTTTGCGCTCTTTTTGTAATTCTAATTTGAGTTTTTTGTGTTCTTCTGATGTTTTTTGATGTTGTTTTCTTTCTAAATTTTCTCATTATGTAAGTTATAGCTAATCCCCTGATATATGTTTTGGCTGTATCCCATAGGTTTTGCAGTGAAATCTCTTCTTTTTTATTCTCCTTAAAGAAGAATTCCATTTCTTTTACTGTTGTTTGTGTACATTCTTTATCTTTTAGTATAGATTGATGCAACATCTATCTCGACCTTTTCTTTCGCCCCTTCCAACGGACTTTTTTTGGGTTATGATTGGCTCATATATTGGTTTCTATCTCTATCTCTTGCACATTTGTTCTCAATTCCGACATCCATATTATATCAATTCTAGACCATGTTTTGTGCCTATTTGAATAGAATGTGTACTGGTTTTTCCCTGGATTTGTTTATCTCCATATATCCATATATATTTTAAAGAAAGCCCTCGGAAGAGTCTTCCTTAACTTTTTCCCTGACATAAGAAGCCCATTTCAATGCATGAGGATATAAAAGCCATGATACAAGCTGTTCATGAGGATTTGAAAGAACAAATAGGGAGAGTGGAAGAGAAAGTAGGGAAAGTAAAAGAAAAAGTAGAGAACTTTCAATAAATGATGGCGAAAAATGAAGAACAGATGCAAAAAGTAGAAGAGATCAAAATAAAGAAAAAAAACAATAATTTGGTTAGAAATGGATTGGGCAGATTATTATCTGAGATTTCAGAACATGGAGCAAGAAAAGGGATAAAAGCAGAGATAATGGCAGAAATGTTGTCAGGGGCCTTGGAGGTGCCCAAAGAAAAAATGTTGGCTGATATTGATGAAATATTTAGAATACATACTAGATATGCGACGAGAAAAACAAATTCCGAGAAGAGTTAAAGATTTAAAGAAGGAATATTAGTTTTTGACAAAGTATTTAATAAAAAAGGGGTG